GAAAAGGAGAGCAGTTATCAGACCACTTTGAACATGCTGAAAGCCTGCAGCTCTCCAATTAAAGCTGCCCCTGTTATCCTTTCACAGACAAGCCTCAGACATTGCCTCCAGAAGTATGCAGACCCTGGGCCTAAAGCAAAGTCTGAATTTGGGAAGAAAGGCAAAAAAGAATAAATAAACAGCAATGACAAAAATCTAAGAGGTATTACAGTGACTAAAGAAACCGAAGACCCAAACCCTGAAGAAAATGCTTGCAAAATATTTACAATCCAAGCCTCAAAGTAAAACAGAGAATAGACACAAGTTCAACTAGAATTTCTGAAAGAAACTGGTACTTGTTAAGAAATAAAGAGGCCTGGATAGAGCACCGGCCCTGGATTCAAGAGGACCTGAGTTCAAATGCGACCTCAGACACATAACACTTACTAGCTGTGTGACCCTGGGCAAGTCACTTAACCCTATTGCGTAGCAAATAAATAAATAAATAAATAGGTCAACCAATGCAACATATTAGGTATATAATATGTGGAAGAAAACAAACACAATAGCCTAGTCTTTGATAAATGCAAAGACCCCAGCTACTGGGGTAACAACTCACTATTTAACAAAAACTGCTGGGAAAACTGAAAAACAGTTTGGCAGAAACTAGGTACAGAAAACATAAACAAATCATAGGAGCAAGGAATAAATTGCCTTTCATATCTTTTAGAGGGGATGAGAGTTCATGACCAAATAATGAAGGGGAGGAGGGGGAAATGAAATAGACAACTCTGAATAAATAAACATACAAAGTTTTTGCCAAAAAAAACCCAAAAAACAAAACATTGCTTTCAAAAATCTAAAACTAAGAACTGGGAAACAATCTTTGCAGCAAATTTCTCATATAAAGATCTCATTTTCATATGTTGCATTGCTTCCCAGAAGCAGAAGTTGATTAATATTAATTCATTCTCTGTGGTATCTGTAGAAAAATGTAGTTTCCTTATCTCTTTTAATTATTTATTTTTATTTTGCTTTATCTGAAATCATGATTGCTACCCCTGCCTTTTTTGCTTCAGCTGAAGAATAATAGATTCTGCTTCAGCCCATTATTTTAACTCTGTATCACTGTCAGCTCCCGTTTGGTCTGGGTCTTCTGTCCTGATTGTTCCACTGCATGCTTGCATACTGGGCTAAAATCTAGAATCACCACTCTCCTCCTGAGTTCAGTGCCACACTGCTACATTTCTGGAACTTGTCCTTTGCTCAGTACTCCAAAGGGCCCACACAGCAACAATTCTTCATCCTGGATCTGTGAGCCAGAAATGGGTAACAAGTGACTCCCTATAATTCTTAGTTTTTCCTTTAAGTGTTTGAATGTACACTATTCAGTGCATTTATGTTAAATACGTATGACTTCATTGTATAAGGCATATTTACTTCCCTTTGTATTATAATGTGTTAAGAAATATTTGTATTCTTTCTGAGGGTTTAGTACTCATGATTTCTTTTGGTTTAAGACTCTATTGATGTATCTATCTTTGCTTTGGACTTTTATTGAAGCTTTTTTTTCTTGGAATCTTTTGGTGTTTCTGCCTATTTTCTGTATTCTTCTGTCATTCAGTTTCTGGCCCATTTACTTTGCTAGTGAATACCCCACCCCCAACACTGAAAGGCTGCCTCTTCCTCGACAAGTTGGGGGATTTAGGATTGCTGCCTTGGGTCCTTACTCTTGAGAGACCTACTAGAAGCTTTTGTCCCCTGTCCTCCTTGGGGACAGAATTGGTACACTGTCCTAGCTTCCCCCATTGTTTTCCTTTTTTATTTCTTGCTCAGGTTGAAATTGCCATGTGTGGCTTTTTGTAGAATAGGTGGGTGTGTTGTGGACAGAGTCCTTTACTTAGGGCTTAGACCTCATCAAAAGGCAACACATTTTTATCACCTTTCAGCTTCACATGGATGGGGAGGATGACTATCTCTCATTGAGGGGAGATAGATTGACAAGAAATATTTTGGTAGAGTATAAGGGCTACCCCAAGATAATTTCCAGGCACGAAATTGCAAAATTTCTTGTGCTTCTGCTACAGATATATGGAGACTGGTGGGGTAGTAGTCCTGAGAGAGTGCTTTAAAGACTAGAGTTCTTCTATGTTAATTCATAAGGATTTTACCTTGTCAGAGTTTATTTTTCTCCTGTATACACTCCTGTGTTTAGTTATAACACTACATCTAATGCATATTTTTTTTGAGTGTTGGAGTGTTGAAGTGCTTTTAAGAAACTGACCATTCCTCTACTTTGCTGGTCATGTAATCCAGAAGTGCTGTTTAACATTTTTATCAATGATTTGGATAAAGTTTTAGTGGATTGCAAGTTCAATGTGATTCAGCAATGTGTCAAAAAAAAATTAGCATTAAGAGAGGCATAGCTTCTAGGAATAAGGAGGTCCTTCTATATTCTTCCATTGTCAGAATTTATCTAGAGTATTGTGTTCCATTCTGGCCATCACAGTTTAAAAAAGGACGATGACAGGCTAGAGAGGGTCTAGAAGAGAGCCTCAGTGTGGGATATATTGAGTCTACATTACTTGAGGATAGATTGAAGGACCTGGCTATATTTAGCATAAATAAAAATAGCTTCACGGGGGCTAAGATAACTGTCATGTATTTGAAGGGCTACTATGTGGGAAAAGGATTAAAATTTCTCTATTTGATCCCAAAGAATGGAAACAGAAAAATGGGTAGAAGTGGCAGAAATAAAGTTAAGCTTTTTATGATAAAAATCTTTATAACAATCAAAGATTCCCCAAAGTGGAATGGGCTGCCTTGTGAAGTAGTAGATTATCCCTTCTTGCAGATCCTCAAGAAGAGGCTTGAAGCTTTTTGAAGAGCACTCATTAGGCATGTTATAGAGGAATTTCTTTTGGGTGTAAGTTGGAATTATTGGGAGATCAAGTCCTTTCCAATTCTCAATTTATTCTGATTCAAATAACAAACTAGGAGTTATCTTTGGGTCCTCAGTCTCCTGCATCCCATAGCCATTTTTGAAGTCCTGTAGATTCTACCTACACAAAACCTCTCACATTTATCCCCTTCTGTCCACTAACATGGCCAATATCTTAATTCAGGCTTTTATCATCTCTCTTACCTGAACAATAATAATTGCCTCCTAATTGTACTCTTGCCTCAATTTGCTCTTTTTTCCAGTCCATATACCATCTGCTATTCTATCACATAAATACGTGATATTCTCTTTTATTAGTTTATTTAGTATAGTTTTAGTTTTCAACATTCACTTCCATGAGATTTTAAGTTTCAGATTTTCTTCCCATGTCTCCATTCCCCCCACCCCAGTTTGATATAGGCTCTACATATACATTCATATTGAACATATTTTCACATTAGGCATGTTGTAGAGAAGAATTAGAACCAAGGGGAGAAACCATGAGAAAGAAGAAACAAACAAAAAAGAAGAAAAAGAAAGAGAGCAAACAATATGCTTTGATCTGCATTCAGACTCCATAGTTCTTTTTCCAGATGTGGACAGCATTGTTCATCATGAGTCCTTGGATGCTTGCATTGCTAAGAATAGATGAGTCTATCAAAGTTAGTCATTGCACATTTTAGCTGTGACTGTGTATAATGTTCTCCTTGTTCTGCTTACTTCACTCAGCATCAGTTCATATAAGTCTTTCCAGGTTTCTCTGAAGTCTGCCTCCTCATCATTTCTTGTAGCACAAAAATATTCCATTACATTCATGTACCACAACTTGCTCAGCCATTCCCCAACTGATGGGCATTCCCTCAATTTCTAATTCTTTGCCACCACATAAAAAGCTGCTATAAATATTTTTGTACACACGGGTCCTTTTCCCATTTGTATGATCTCTTTGGGATACAGACACAGAAGTGGTATTGCTGGGTAAAAAGGTATGCAGAAAAATGTGATATTCTTTTGGGAGGGGGAAGGTGTTAGGGTTAAGTGACTTGCCCAGGGTCACACAACTAGTAAGTGTCAAGTGTCTGAGGCCAAATTTGAACTCAGGTCCTCCTGACTCCAGAGCCAGTGCTCTATCCACTGCACCACCTAGTTGCTCCAAAACATGATATTCTTAAAGCATAGGCCTAATCATGTCATTCCCTTTCTTAAAATCCTCCAGTGGCTCCCTATTGCCTCTAGGATAAAATACAATAAAAGCTCTTCAAATCTAGCTCCATATCCTCTTTTCAGACCTCTTCATATACTCTTAATTTCAGCCAAACTGGTGTACTTCGTATTTCTTCCACAAAGTGTTAAGGCCATTTCCCATGGCCTCAGAATAAGTTAATGCTCCCTGCCTTGCCCCAAGTGCAATTCTTTTTCACTTCTTCCTCAGTTCCCCAGCTTCCTTCAAAAATCAGCTCAAATACTACCTTATGCACGAAGCCTTTATTAATTCTCCCATTTTCTAGTATCTTCTTCCTTTGTATTTATTTGTCTGTGTTTATTTAATTTTCTCCCAATAGAATGTAAGCTACTTGAGGGAAGGGTCTGTCTTCTTTTCTATGTTTGTATACTCAAAGTTAAGTGACCAACACATGTTGTTGTTCAATCATTCAATCATGTTCAACTCTTTGTTACTCCTTGGACCATAGCACACTAGGCCCTTCTATCCTTCACTATCTCTTGAAGTCTGTCCAAGTTCATGTTCATTGTTTCCATAACATTATCTACCCATTTCATCCTCTGCTTCAGTATTTGACCTTCCAGTGAGCAGTCTGAATTAATTTCTTTAAGTATTGACCAATTTGACCTCCTTGCTATCCAAAGGATTCTCAAATGTCTTTTCCAGTACCACAATTCAAAAGCATCAATTCTGTGGTGCTCAGTTTTCCTAATAGTTCAACTCTCACAGCCATACATTACTATAGATATTTAATTAATGAATTGATTTGTCCACACTAAAATTCTTCAGTCATGACCTAAAATGCTGAATTAACATTTGTTTGTTTTTGTTTTTGTTTCTGTTTTTTTACATTTTCAGGTGTACTAATGAAACCAAATTCAAAGCAGAAGAGTTATTTTGGGCTTACAATTTCTGTCCAACTCCATATGCCTGGACTGCACTTTTGGGCCTTATTTTATATCTCGTTTTCTTCGCACCTGGTAAATAAATGCTTCATTTTTACAAATGCTTGGTTGAAGAAAAGAAAAAGAAAATTTTGAATAGACAAGCTATTACTTATCAAGGTTTTTAATTTCTGATTTATTAAAGTTTGTATTTTGCATTTCTGAGGAATGGGACCAATGCCTTGGACAGTGAATTCTGAAATCTATCCTCTTTGGGCAAGAAGTACAGGAAATGCATGTTCATCTGGAATAAATTGGATTTTCAATGTTCTAGTTTCACTGACCTTTCTACATACAGCAGAGTACCTTACATATTATGGTAAGAAGTTTATTTTCTTCTTCTACAGTGTGTTTCTTTATTTCATGTATGTTACAACTGATAATTGAGGATAATGATAATAATAGCTAACTTTATATAAGAATTTACAATAATTGAGGTCTTTATTTTCAATATCTCATTTGAAACTTAATATTATCTTGTGGCACAGGTAGTATTAGCCCCCTTTACAGGTAAGAAAACTGTTCAGAGAATTTAAGTGAGTTATCTTTTTATTTAATAATTACAGGGCTTGGGTGCAAATCCAGGTTCCAATGTTCTTTCCACTATATGGAAAATCTTCATTATGATTATTATTATTATTATCATCATCATCATCATAATCATAACTAGAATTTCATGTCCTCTGTTTTCAAAAGAACTTAAAAAGTTACCTGAACATGATTTTGGAAGAGAACTACAAAGGACTATGAATTACTCATATCTTAAGGAACAATTCTGCGTGTCTGGGGCTGGATTAGATGATCTTAAACATTCTTTCCTATTTTGTTTCTCTGATGTTCTGTAGGGAACTACTTCAAATATGTCTTTAGAAAGGTAGTAAAACTTGATAAAAGAGATCTCAATATATTGGAGAGAGATTTCACAAACAAAAATATATCTTTCCTTAGTTAGTCTTCCTTACCATATGAGTTTGTGAATGAAGCCAAGATTAATAAAATATTGCAAAAATTATTGCCATGGGTTCATAGCTGAAAGAAATTTTACAAGCCACCTAGTTCAAACCATACCTGAATAAGAATTGCTTTCAGAACATCTCTTTTTCTTATTCTTAGTCTTATTCTTCCTCTTCCTCTTCTTCTTCATCACCATTCCTAGAATTTAAACAATACTTACTATATGCCAGTATACCAGGCACTCTGCTAAGTACTTTACAAATATTATCTCATTTTATCCTCACAACAACCCTTCAAGTGGTCATGCAGACTTCAGTACTTGAAGACTTCACTGAGGAGGGTTTCTTTGGATAGCTGTATGGAGAAATATGTTCCTTACATCAAGCCTAAATTTGTCTCTTTGCAACTTTTCAACCAATATTCCTGGTGCCAAGCATAACAATCCTAATCCCTCTTCCCTACAACACCCTTTCACATAATTGAAGAAAGGCACAATGTACCTTTCTTCTCTTCTCTGAGCTAAACATCTCTAGTTCTTTCAGTGGCTTTTCACATTGACATGATTGCCAGAACTTTTTTTTTTATCACCCTCCTGTACCACTCTCTAGTTTATCAGGGTCCTTCCTAAACTGTGAAGTCCAGAATTGAACATAATACTCCAGATGTGGTCTGAACAGGACAGAGTACAATATGACTATCACCTACCTAGCAAACTTCCTGACCTGGACACTGTGCTTCTCTTAATGCAGCCCAAGATTACATTAGTTTTTCTATCTATCATATCATACTCTTGACTTATATGGAGCTTGAAGTATACTAAAACCCTCAGGAAATTTTTTAGACAAATCACTATCTAGTAATGACTCAGTCAATCAGTGAACATTTATTAAGCATCTACTGTGTGCCAAGCAGTTTGCTAAGTGCTGGAAATACAGAAAGAGGCAAAAGACAGTCCCTACCCTCAAGGGACTAATAATTTTCTGGGATAGACAACATGCAGACAAGTGTGTACAAAGCAGTCTATATACAATCTATATAAAAATAGGAAATTATTAAAAGAGTGAAAACACTAGAATTAAGAGGAGTTAGGGAAGACTATTTGTAGAAGGTGAGATTTTAATTGGGACTTAAAGGAAGCCAGGAAGGTTAGTAGAGTGGAGGAAGAAGAGCATTCCACGCAGGGAGGACAGCTAAGGAGAATGTCCACAGCCATAGGTTTGAGAGGTATATAATCTGCTTCTTTTCTAAATTTTTTTTGTAGCATGAAATTTAATATTATGATTTAATTATTAATGTATTTTTAAAATTATTTAATGTGTTAATATTAATATTATTATATATTAATTAATATTATACATAAACACTGTATTTATTAGAATGTAGTATGGAATACAGTGTTTGTGTGGGTTTAAGCATGCTACCAGGCTGCTTTCTAGTTTTCCTAGCAGTTTTTATCAAATAGGGAGTTCTTTCCTAAGTAATTTATGTTTTCTAACATTGATTTACTGAGTTCCATTGTTTCTGATTCTCTCTTGTCTTATCTATTTCATTGGTCTGTCTTTATTTTTTTATTTTTATTTTTATTTTGATGACTACTGCTTTATAATATACAATTTGAGTTCTAGAAATGCTTTTCCCTCTTAGTCCCTAACTCTTTTCATCATTTCCCTTTGAATTCTAAATCTTTTGTCTTTCTAAATGATTGTTTTTATTTGACCCAGACCTATAAAGTATCCCCTTGATGATTTGATTGGTATAACATTTAAATTATAAATTAACTTTGGTATTATTATAATTTTATTGGCACCATTTATCCATGAGTACTGGATTTCCTTCCACTATCTAAGTTGCCCTTTACTTTTTTAAGGAGCACTCTGTAATAGAATCCATACAAATTATTTCTATGCCTTTTTTGTGTTTTGAGTCAGTCCCCAGACATTTTATGCATCTTATAGCCATATGGAATGTATTTCCCTTTTTATTATTGCCTCTTATATTTTGTTACTCTTATGTAAAAATGCAGTTATTTTTGAAGGATTGCTTTGTAGTCCCCAACTTTACAGAAGCTATTGATTGTCTCAGTTATCTTTGCTGATTCCTAGTATTTACTAGCATTTTGTATATTATATAAATGTTTATATATATTACTAGTATTTCTAGTAAACTATCGCATTATTTCCTCTTTACCTAGATATATGTCTTCTGTTTTTTCTCTTGTCTTATTATTATTGATAGCATTTCCAGAACTGTATCAGGTAATAATGAGATTTAATCCCATATTTATTGGGAAGGTTTCTAGTGTATCTCCAGAGCATATCATGATTACTTTTGGTTTTAGATACATACTTACATACATCCTTCAGTTCCATATTTAAAAATGGTTCCTCTATGTCTATACTTTGTAGGGTTTTTAGTATAAACAAGTATTGTGCTTTGTCAAAGGTTTTTTCCTGCATCTGTTAAGATAGTCATCTGGTTTGGAATGTTTTGTTTTTAATATGATTATGTTAATTATTTTTCTAATATTGAACCATGTATGTCTCCCTGGTACAAATACACCCTGATCATAAAGAGTGATTTCTTGGATGAATTGCTGTAGTCTGTTTGACAAGATTTTATTTAAAATTTTTGAATTGAGAGGATTCTGGGAAGATGGTGGGAAGGTCAGAAAATTCCAATTTCTTCAGATTTTCCCCACAAACAAGACAAAATAGCTCCTCAGCATGAACATAGAGTGGTTAAAATAAACAAGAGTTGGGGCAGAATGATGGTCCTCCTGGGACAATGGAGAAGATCCAAAGAAAAGTTTCAAGACCAAGGTTTACTAGTTCTGCTGAAACAGCAAGAGGCAAGCTCTGGGGTTAGCTGGATTGGGAGATAACCTCAGCCCCAGCCACAGGAACTTTCACCTCTCAGACAGTGTGAGGAGTTGGTGTCTGTGTGGGAGAAGGTTGAGGGAAAGTCTGCTGATAGAGATGCCAGGCTCAGTTCTGCTTCTGAGAAGCTGCCTTGGGTGAGGGGGAACCAGCACATGCCCAGTGAGTGCAAAAGCAGGATGCTGCTGGCTGTGGGCACTTACACAGGAGGGCAGAATTCTTGGTTTCAGTTCCAGGCCAGAGAGGAGAACTGAAGGAGGATCTGAGGACAGAGACACCATCCCCTATACCCTAAGACTAGAGGTGATTACAATAATAAGCTGCCACAAATATAAAAAATGAACAGGCAAAGGAGAAAGAACCCAATTATAGAAAGTTACCATAGGAATAGAGAAGACCAGGGTTTGTCTTCAGAGGAGGATACTGAAGCAAAAAAAAAAAAAGCCTCTCCTACCCCAAAGAATAAGGTCAAATGGTCACCTGCCCAAAAAGAATTCATAGAAGAACTTAAAAAAAGATTTAAAAATCAAATGAGACAGATTGAGGACATTTTTTTAAATAAAAACAATCCAAGAAAAACAAGAATATGAAAAGAAAGTCTACCAACTGGAAAAAGAGATCCAGAATCTTTTTTTTTAATTAATTTATTTTTAGTTTTCAACAATCACTTCCATATGCTTTTGAGTTTTAAATTTTTCTCCCCCTCTCTGCCCCAAGACGGTGTGCAATCTGATATAGGCTCTACATATATGTTCCTATTAAACATATTTTCACATTAGTCATGTTGTAAGGAAGAATTAGAACCAATAGGAGGAACTATAAGAAAAAGGAAACAAAACAAAACAGAAGAGAAAAAAAGAGCAAATAGTATACTTTGATCTGCATTCTAACTCCATAGTTCTTTCTCTGGATGTGGATATCATTTTCCATCATGAGACTTTTGGAGATGTCTTAGATCCTTGCATTGCTGAGAATGGTTAAGTCTATCAAAGTTAGTCATTGTACAACATGGCTGTTACTATTGCAATGTTTTCCTGGTTCTGCTCACTTCACTCAGCATCAGTCCATACAAGTCTTTCCAGGTTTTTCTGAAGTCTGCTTGCTCCTCATTTTTTATAGCACAATAGAATTTCATTACATTCATATACCACAACTTGTTCAATCATTCCCTAAGTGGTGAGTATCCCCTCAATTTCCAATTATTTGCCACCACAGAAAGAGCTGCGATAAATATTTTTGTACATGTGAGTCCTTTTCCAATTTGTATGGGAGGTCCAGAATCTTAAGGAAGAAAAAAACTCCTTGAAAATTAGAATTGGACAAGGGAAAGTCAGTGAAATTATAAGAGACCAAGAAATAACAAAACAAAATATAGAGAATGAAAAAAATAGAAGAGAATGTGAAACGTCTCTTAAGAAAAACAACTGATCTAAAGGACAGATCATGGAGAAGTAATATAAGAATAATCAGACTACCTGAAAGCTGTGAT